GCCAGCATCACTGCCTCAGCTCCACCTCAGATCATGGGGCGCTGGATTCTCACAGGAGCACCGGTCTCTGGTACCAAAAAGTTGGGGACTGCTGCCCTAGGGTGAGGTAAAGAATTGCCATTTTAAACGAGTTCCCAGTGTGTTTCTGATGCCTCAAAATGTCTGAAAACCACTGGACTATAAGAATGTATTCTAGATTAGAAAGTATAATAAAATAAATATAAAAGTAAGCTGAAGACATCTTCGAGAACAAATATTGGCAGAATTCCTTAATGGACAAAATATCAGGCAAATCAAGGATTATGTTGTATCTTAAAAAGTCAATGGAAGATTTGGTGTTTGATAACAAGGAAGGTTTTTAGGTAAATTATTGGTTATTGGTTTAAATATTTTGCTCTTAAAGGAGAAAAGTATTTTATGCAAATGATTCTTCTGTACTAATTTATATACTATGAAATGTGAAAACAGCCTTTGTAAACTTCAGATCAATGGATGTTTTTCAGTAAGATTTTCTCGGATTAAAGCACATTCCTTGAAATTAAGAAACAGTCGTTATTGTACTATGTAAAATCTAATTAACTGGATATAAAATTCAGACTCTGCAATCATTTGGCCCTGCTTCTATGAAAAAGGGATTTGAACAGAATTATTCATATAAATCAGGTGTAAATTAATCATTTTATTTCCTTGTCTAAAACCATTCAATTACTCCTTGTATCTCTAAGGACAAAGTTCAAACTCTTGAAGAGCATTACAGGGCTTCCCTCTCCTGCCTCATATCTTTACCGCTCCCCAGGTTTTCCTTTCTGTTTCTCCTCACTCTGACCTCTTAAACATCATCATTATTTTTCTCATTGTCAGAAACCTTGGCTCCCTCTCCCTTCTTCCCCAATATGTAGTGAGCACTTCACGCATAGTGTGTCGTTACTAACAATATCATTACTGACAAAAAAAAAGTGGACATGTTTAAATATATTTTCAAGGCAGAGTATTCAGATGTTTTTCAGTACTTGAGAGTAAGAGGTAATAAGGTAAAGGGAGAACTCAAGGATGACCCATTTTTGGTTTGAGAAATGAAGAAATTAATTAAGAAATTAGGGCTAATTACTATGAATGAGAAAAAATATAAGCTCTGAGTGATTATGAATTTTGTTTTGTTCATATACTAAATTTAAGATGCTTGTGTGGGGAGGATGGTAAATGGAATGGGATATAGGAATCTGGAATTCCAGAAGGGGGTCAGAGCTGAAGACAGTGATGGTATTTAAAGCAACAGCAATAATGAAATTTCTTAGGAAGAACGATATAGAGAGAAGGCAGAATGGGCCACTTAGAGGCCAAGGGGAGGAGGCGAAAACAGAGGAAACCAGTGAGAAAGGAGGAAAACCTGGAAAGTGGTGACATGAAGCCGAGAGAAAAAAATGGTTCAAAAAAGTGGGAGTGTCAGTTCTGTCGAAGGCTGCCAAGAGATGGAGTAAAATGAAACCTAAGAAGGGATCACAAAATCTGGCAACATGGAGGCCACTGGTGACAGTGACAAGGGCAAGCATGGTGGAGTAGGGGCAATGAAAGTTCATGTGGAGTGGGCTGCAGGAGGAGGCAACATGAAGTGGTAAGACCACAGAAGTTCCCGTAAGCCATTTTGCTGAGAAGAGGAGCAGATAAATGAAGCAGTATGATGGTGAGATGGCATAAGGGGGGGTCGGGGTGGGGATTATATTTTACTGCTGGGAGACGTAGACTATGTTAATGTGACAAGAATGCTTTGGGAGATGAAAGACATTAGGATATAGGAGAAAAAGATAGTATCTGCAGGATGAAGCCCTGCAGAACACAAGGGATGGCTTTGTAGAGGCCAAATGGCACAGCTGGCCCATGATGGAGGCTGGGGGTGCTCACCCATGCTAACAAGAGGGAAGACAAGGACTTCAGCGCATGTGCAGGTCTGTAGATAGCTTTGGTGTGGGAAGATGACTACTATTTTCTCCTTGATGGGTGACTCAGGGTTATCAGCTGGGAATTGGGTAGAGATGTGACGACGGAGAGGTTTGAGAGGAAGAGGTATGAAATTGTCTGCAGCAAGGGAAAAAGAATATACTACAGAAAATCCTCAGGCAGTAGAATTGCTTTAGTGTCCATTTGCAATTTGTCATCACGAATTTAAAATAAGACAAGTCAGTATATTTGGGTGTTTTCCTCCAGCAAATTTCAGATGCTATCCTCACTCTGCTGCCCCCGCCAGCTCTTACCCCTACTTTAGCCTGGCTTTATCCATCAGTCCTGCTGGATGCCAGTTCTGTGGGAAACCTGTGTTGCTCCTCCAAGTCTAGATCTGATGCTCTCCTTGGTACTTGTTACTCCTATTACGACCGTACTATAATTATCCACTTACTCGTCAGTACCTGCCATTAGAACATAAGCTCACGGTAGGCAAGGATTTTTTTTATCTATGTTGCTCTGAATTCTACCCCAAATTCAAACATAGCACTTAGCACGCAATACGTGCTGAACATATACTAGTTGAATAAAAGACATATGGTACATAAAGCAAATATCGATGTCTCTAATTCCCATATTAGCATCAAGAATGTTTGCCTTGAATGTTAATTTAAAATAATTCTTATTACAAAAACACTAACAAGCCGAGATTTATAGTTCAGTTTCTACTTGCTGCAGTTCCCAAAGTTACCATGTATAATTGTATACAAACCAACTTCATTTTTAAAAAGAGGTTTGCATTTTAACTGACTTCCTTTCCTCAACCCTACCCTCAAAAATGGTAAATAAGGAGGCTTTATTTTATAACACCAATGGTTAAAGGAGAAAAATAAGCACCAAACTTGTATTTTAAGGAAAATTATACCCCATATTTCCCACATACATTTGTACGAGAAACATATATTCAAATATATGTTAGAATGATTAAGAATATTTTGAGAAGATACATAATTTAGATTTAAAGTTAGCTTTAATACAAAGAATAAATTTAACACACAATGAAGGACATGGGCCTCAGTGGTATCTCTCCGTTGTTAAGTAATAGACATGTTTTTCCTTTGATTATAAATCATTATGGTGACTTATCCAATCAATAGGCACTGCAACATTCTACAAAGATGCAAGAATGCATGTAGTATCTCACAAAATCTTCACAACATCCAATAACCTTGAATGTGTTTTTATCTCCAATATAAGTAAAATATAAGTGAAGCTTAGAGATTAAGTAAAACTCAGATAAAGTTACAGAGCTGGTAAAGGGCAGTCTAATTTTAAACCAAGACTGGATGGCTACCAAAATGGGTTTTCTTTCAATAAGGCAATATGGCGAGCCCCTTACTGCAAGTCCCTTCTGATGTCTAAGGTCCTTTCCAGGTCTAATTTTGTATATTTTCTAAAGAAACAAAGAAGTTCTTCCTTGCACATCTCTTATCTTGGATTATCAGTCCTATTAGTGTTTGAGAGACAATTCAGAATCTCCTCGGTGTCTCTTCTATTCTCTGGATGTGCACTTGTGGACACAAGCTTTATACATAGCAACTCAAAAGAAATACCTTTTCCTGAATAGTAAGTAATACTGTTTCCATTTATTTTAATACCTGAATCTCTGCTGTAGAGAGCAGAAGGATTAAAAAAAATTACCGGGGCAAATAAATGTTTTAGAGATGCTTGTGAAATGGGTATTATAATAATGTGAGTATTTGTACATAAAATATAAATTTACACTTAGTTTAGATTTTTAGTTTCTAGTTGCTGGGTTACGTCCTTGTTGGAAAAGTAAATATTTACTTCAGTTCTGTATAATGCTGAGTTCACTCTTACCATTGGTTTCTTTTAATAGTTATAACATGACGCCTAAGTTAAACTTTGCAATCAGCAACACATGTTATTAGCCAGATGGACATCTGATACCTTATATGACATGCATCCCTTGATAATGGAAAACATATGTATTAACAAACATTTCTATAGTGCATTATTTAGCAAAAATTCACTGTAGGAATGAACTCATTTTAAAGATGAAGAAAAAAGGTTCAGAGAGGTTAGTGACTTGTCCAAGTTCAAACTGCTGGTAAGTGGCATAGTCAGCACATGTAAAATAGTCTAAAAGTGTGGGATAATGTGTTATCATCTATCAGAAATATGATCAAAGAATACCAAACAGTCTTAAAGACTAGCAATGAGGGGTAACAAAACCTTGGCTCTAGGAATACCAAGTGAGTGCATCATGTATATGAGAATTCAAAGTCTGAGTTGGAAAAGAGTGCTAAAGGAAATTATAAAGAACCTATGTGAAAGGGATATTGTAGTACAGTGAAAAGAACGCTAAGCTGAGAGATGGAAGCCAGTGGAAGTTCATCTCTAAAATAGGGACTTGGACTGGATGACTCTGCTGGGATGCCCTGTCCTTGTCCTAACAGATAAATATCCTCTGGCTCTGCCCTTGGAGGCGGAGCTTGCTCCCTTACATCCAGGTACTCCCTTGCCCTCTAGCTTGTTTGGTTCTGCCAGAGGGCCCTTGGCAGAGATAGGGAGGATAGGGGAAAGAAAGTTAGGGGGTATGCCTGGCTGTCTCCCTGTAAGATCTCCAAAGGTCTCGGGTCTTCTCAAGGACTCCTACTTTCCATGGCTCTCCACCTGCTCAGGACAGTGTTCAAGCATGCACCCATGTGCATGCACCACCCCTGTGGTCCTCCTACCTGCCACCCACGTCTGTAGTATTAGTACCCTGGTAAATGAACTCTCCTTGAATTATCCCAATTTGAATGCTGCTGGAACACTGACTGGTACATTCTAGAAGGTTCCTTCTAGCTGTCGCTTTGCAAATAATTATTTTCTGAACCACTGAACTTGGTTTTCTTATCCTTTCTCCAATGTAATTATTCTTGGTTTCCTCAAGTGAAGTTCAGATGGTATACAAATTATTAACAAAAGAAAAGCTCTGAGTTAGCTTTGTTTAAAAGTATAACTGTCATCCACAATCACAAGAGAGAAGTCAAAAGTAAGTAAAATAAGGGCACAGCTTTATTTCACTACAAGGCAGTAAAGTACACTGTCATATCAAAAGTTCAGTGCTAGCCATCTTGCACCAAATGTTCTTAAGGCAGCAACTGGCTACAGAATCCAGTCTCTTGACTCCAGCTGCAGACACAGGTTTTGAGTGGCTGTTCTGAGACCATACACTTAGTAACCATGGGTGATACTGATCAAACACATAACTCCCGAATTAAAGAACCATCAGGCTGAACTCAAAACAAAACACAGGACATTAACAACATAGATCTCCCAAAAAAGAAGTGCAATGCATGCTCTTATAAACCAACAATAATGAAAAAAAAAAAAAAAAACAATAACAACAAATGCAAAATCTCCCAAATAAGTTTTCCAATGTATTACAAAAGGAAAAAAAAGTATATATATAAAAAATAAAAAAGAGTTTGAAATACTAGTGCATAGTTAATTCCTAACACCAATTTTCTTTTTGTCCAAAGCTCTACTGACCCTCTCATTCTAGCAGCATCTCTACAGGCTAAGACCATAGCAGCAAAACAGATTTTTCATTTGGCATTTACAAAATTAAATTACTGAATAAAAATATAATTTTTTTATAAAACTATTTCATACAGTAATAATTTTTAAAGCAAGCTAACAAAAAACTCATAAAATGGTTTAGTACAATAAATGTACCTCCAATGTTGTTAACCATAAATGAGCATTTACCATCTTGATTAATTATTCCATTTTATTATCCAACATTTATAGTAATGCATTGTGTTTAGTGGCTGAGAAAAGTAAAATATTGAAGTACCTTTTTTTTTGTGTAAAATTTTAAAAACCTCATTATAAAAAAATACTGGTCTGTTGACTCCTCTAAAATACAGATAAATCACTTTATGTTTAAAAAAAATCTGCACTAAGATATTAACAACTGACTATAATTCATCACCTAATAATTTAGGTAAGACTGTTATTTATTTATTTTTTTAAAAATCCTTTTAGTTGGGTGAAATCCGATAAGATTTCATCCATCTAAATGCACTTGGTGCTGCTCTCAACTGTTGTACCACAACAAAAATAGGTTCTTCCATTCATGAAAAGTTTCATGTAGAGGAATGATACATCCTAAGTCAATCTGAAGTGTTCTGAAAACCATAATGCTTGTCTGGAAACGTCTCACATGACCAGAGTCCGGGTTGAGAAGGCATTCACATATTTACGAGCCTGACCAGAAGCTGTCATCTGATCTTCCATCTTTCCACAGGATGCAGTTTCCCAGGCCCCGCTACAAGGCTAATGGGGAAAAAGAAGACAATAGCTAGGTCAGAAAGGAAGTACATACTTTAGCTCACAAGTTGGAGCCCCAATCCCAGCCAGGCCACCAGAGGGAATTTTGACCCGACAACAAGTGGTAAACACCAGGGAGCCTTTGTCAGATAAAATCTTTAACTCCCTGAAACTCAGGAACTCAGTGTTCCTAAGTGACATTAATTATTAGAAATTATTTATCGCTAAGAGAAAAAATCCACTCTAAACAGTATCTTAAGAGATGGCCACATATTCATCCTTGAGTGCCTCTTGTCCATTGTAGGGAGATTTTACAAAGCTGGAAACAGGAATGGGCCTAATTCTCCAGACTCCTAAGGTGAGCTCTGGGATTTACTCATTGAGCAAACTGGTGAGTGCTTGAGTCTTCTTAGAGACTTCGTAGAACTGGTCAATGCGTACTAAACATAGTATTTATTTTTAATATCATTTAAATAACAATTAATTTAGGAATATCTTTTTACTGGGATAGCTTACTTTTTAAAGACACACTGGAAGATATAAGATGGAACTAATATCTAATGGGCAGCATCCAGATCCAGGTCCAGTGTCTGGCACTTCATACACACGATCTCATTTGCACGGCCCAGCTAAGGGAGGTTCATCCTCTCTTTAGTCAGGCAGGAAATGGAAACTCAGGGAATAAAGATAACTTGCCCAAGGCCACTCTGAGGGGAAGTAGCAGAGTGACTTTGAATCTAGGCTTGTCTTCTGCACAGCCTCAGCCCCTGCCTTCCCTCCATGTTGCTTCAAACTAAAATATGTACTTTTTGTGTCCTGCTTAGTTCACAAAAGGATTTAAGATGCTTACAAAATAAATAAAAAATCAGTATTTAAAAAGTGGACAAGGCAGGGCCACAGATAAATGTATGAAAATGAATGATATGAAGATGGCGTGAGACTGTACACAAAGCATTTGCCATGAAGTACAACGCACCAGCTAAATGTAAACCTTAAGCTTGACTCTGAGCTCTCTAGCAGTTGACGCAAAGAGTTCGGAAAGAGAAACACAAGCAGATATAAGACTTGGTGTCTGTAAGCTCAAAACTAAACCAATGGTTTAAAAAAAGTTCAACTATTTCTGGTAGTGACATCTAGAGGGATTTCTCCCCACTTCCCTCCACCACTCCCCCCCACTTCCCTCCACCACTACCCCCGACCCCCGCCCCAGCACCATGGGATAAAAGAAGAGTAAGAAAAGAAGGGTCTCTGCTCTCTAGAGCCTCAGGTGTCCTTTAGGAGACAAAATGAACACATGTGAAGCAGATGGAGTAATAAGAGGCCATGTAAAGGTGCATGGTGCCATGCCCAGGTAAAGAGGGAATGGGACACTAAGGAATTGCTAGGGAAATGCTAGACGGGATTTAGACAGACTAATGAGAAAGAAGAGATGTAACCCAGGTGGAGAAATAGCCTGAGTCAGGAAGCTACAATTTGTACACTGTGGGAAGGACAGGGAAAGAAGAAGAAATGTAGTAGATTAAATGACAACATTTAACAAGAGCTTACTACATGCCACCCAAGCTTCCAAGTGTTTTACATGTATCATCTCATTTAATTCTCACACAAAACACAAGAAACACTGCACCTTTTTACAGACTGGGTAATTTAAAAGGAAGAGAGAATTTAAGCAACATTCCCAGGGTCACCCAGCTAAGAAGTGATGAAGCAAGAAATGTAAATCCAGGCCATAGTGAGTGTAAGATGCTGCTTCTACTAGAGTTCTCATCAGTGGAAAATTGTGGGGTTAGGTCAGCAGAGCCTTGGAATGTGGGAAGATGCATTTAGATGGGGTGTCGAAGTCATAAGACTCTTTAGGAAAGAGGTATGATCATTTTGAATGAACATGGTATTTGTATAGTGATGGGGTTTCCTTTCCTAGTGGCTGGAACCAAATTTCAGTGACATAAGGTTTATAGTGCCATGTACCTAATTTGTAAACTTTCATAGAACACAGACTGGGTTCCTGGCTTCTGCCCAATCTGCCACCACCAATGTCAAGGGCGCCATCCAAGTTCGCACGTGTTTATTCTGAAGGCTCAGAAACTCAACATGGAAACTTGAAATACTACATAGCAAGATGGATTATCATAATCTTTTCCTGGAACTGTGTATCGCAAAGATGACAGGACAAAGATGACAGGTGTTCAGGGATGACTTTTGCTACTGAGTCACATTTAACGTCTTCCTAAACAAAAATCACTAGGGTAATTACACCGTTCTATAAAATAGTTCTCAATAAGTGATATTTCTCTAGGTTTAAGAAACTGGATTAAATATACATATTTCTCTGGTATGTATCCATCCATACAAATTCTATATTTTAGTTTAGTTAATTGCTTACTTGTTGTTGCTAAAGTTTTTTGGCGCAGCATTAAAACACCAAATTGACACAAGAAACCCAATTAAAAAATAAAATTTAATGATATCATTTCAATTATTAAGCTTGCATTTGTAGTCACTATAGCAATGTGCTATATAATCACTACCGTTTGAGAGTGAACAGTTAAATGTGGTGGATGTTTACCATGAAGTACTAGGCAGTGCTGAGAATCGATGGTGGACATAGAACAAAGCGCATGAATCTTAAAAAAAAAAAGTGACTAAAGAAGCAGCAGAATAGCAGAATGAAATTTGTTAAGATACTTACATATGTAAATCTAAAATTACATAAAGATACACACAAAACCCCAAAACACACATTTTAAAAGAATGCATGCACATGAATGGAGAGAAAAGAGGAATGAAAGTGAGAATGGAGATAAAATTGAGGAGCAGGGAAAAATGTATCTGTTTTTCTTTAGATAAGAATTTTTCTACTTAGCTGTGCTTCAGTGAATATAGAATTAATTTTCTAAATGTGTAAATTAAGTATTTTAAAACAGTCTTATGCTTGCTTTACTATGCCTCTTGGAAAAAGGCAAATTCTGATCCTTGGCAATATGGTACTTAAATTAATTCAGAATTCCAAAAATCTGTTCAGGAGTCTTTAATAATAGTATTATCAGTTTAATATATTTTCAACTTGGAACTTGACTGTCTACTTGTTGGATCTTCTACAAGGCTCATCACTATATTATGCTTGGCTCTTCCTTCGGGACCAGATATTTAAAACAAGATTAATATAAAGAAGGTATCATATATTTTTATTAGAATTTTGAAAAAACTTTTCAGTCAGCTTCTCCTAAGTCAAAATGGAATTTACCAAGAAAGAAATCACATTGACTGAAATATCTGAATTCCAGAAAGCAGACCATTTCAGGGGCAGAGAAGCCCTAAAGCTTAGAGCCTAAAAAGAGCAAGAGGACTTGGAATACCTGAATCTCCCAGTGCAGATAACACCAGAACACAGTAGCCACTGTGTACAAGAACCACTGGGTGGAACAAAAAGCCAGTGGGCATGTGTATGTAGGTCCCTCCTTTTCTGGACCATGAGAGAACAAAGCAAACACTTCTTATAACAACAAATGAAAAAAACTGGTCAGAGGGGGCACATGCCCATACCGACGGTGTGAAAGGAGGAGCAGAAGGCCAGTTACTTGGGTGAGAAAAGAAATGCTCAGGTCCAACATTCTAAACGGAGACGCCTTCTCTCCTGCTATTTCCTTCTCCCTCCTTACCTTGAAGCTCTGGGCTCCTCGGCCAATTTTTTAAGCAGACAGAATAGTTTTGACAAACAAGGATTAAATGTCTTTGTGTTGGAAGAATGTTTTTAATACTGTCATGTAGACCTTTGTGCATCCTTTTAATTCCCTTTCCTTAAATTTTAGTTTCGCTTACACTAAAGAATTAATAAGAATTATGGGTTTCTGCACATGAATTCTTGTTAAATTACTAACCCATGGTGCTATTGCAGACATGTCACTCTACCCAGATTCATTTCACCATTAATAATCCTACTGCATATCCTCCTGGTCTTGCCTGAGAGTCATCTTGCTTATCCCGTAATCTGCCTTTAACTGCCCGTGGGCAGAAGTGAACTGTAAATAGACTGTCAAAGCTTAAATTGGGATATCCTGCTAAAGTACTTTAAATAAATACTCAGATCCTTTGTAGAAAACAGAAGAAATAAAGGGACAAGAACGTGTCCACAGGTGGTTTTCTGTCAGAATTAGATTATCTTCACTTTTTTCATTTAGAATATGTAGTTTTTTCATCATGCTGAAAAACTACTACTATTATATTCATATAGCAACTTCGAACAATAGCTGTCGATGTCAAAAGCCTTAGCAAAGTATGTGCTTTACTATTCGCAGGCCTAATAAGAAATTTGCATAAATCAAAAAAATGATTCTGTAAGACCAAAGCAACTTGTGAGATGGTATTATGTTTTTCTTTTGTTTGATTTTTAAATAATAAGCGGATATGAATGCTGTCCAAAACAGTAAGAGTAAGAATGATCTGATTATTCTATTTAATTCATTTGAAGAAAATACTCTGGACTAAAATTCTAAAAGTTAGAATTCCTTCTCAAAGGGGCACCTTTTAAAAAATGTATCAGTTATAAGAGATAACACAGAAATCTTTAACTATATCTTGAAAATCAGGGATGAATCTGAAATGAAATGTTGCTAAGGTAAGATTAATGGTTACAAACTTTTTTCACACCTTATGTCTATACAAAACAATTAAGTGCCCCCAACTTCACAGCTGCTAACTTTTCATAAAAAAAAAAAAATAGCCCTAAAAGTTAGGGGTTAGAAGGTTCAGACAGTGATAGGAAGTTGCCCAATGCACCAGTGCCTCCACTTCCCACCCACGCCTGAGTTAATAATTGTTAATGTGGATGGACTTTACCTAAATTTAGAATTTGTCCCAGATATCTTTAGGGGTCTCTTCATCTTAAATGTTTATAGACTTTCCAATTTATAGACTTTCCAATAGTTTATATCAAGTAGCCTAGGGTATCACATATTATTGGAGGAATACCTCCTTCCTTATCCACATATTAGTTCCAGACTATTAAA